TAATTAACGAAATATGTAACGAATAAATTAAATTGAATAATATTTTTTTACTTAACCAATTAAGATAATTAATTAAAGAAATAGTGAAACGAAAAATGGAATAAATATTATTATTTTTATTCAAATAAATAATCGAAATAAATAATATACATAATTAACGAAATATGTAATGAATAAATTAAATTGAATAATATTTTTTTTACTTAACCAATTAAAATAATTACTTAAAGAAATAGTAAAAGGAAAAATTGAATAACTATTATTCAAATAAATAATCGAAATAGAGTAATTAAATATGAAATAAATAATATACATAATTAACGAAATATGTAACGAATAAATTAAATTGAATAATATTTTTTTTACTTAACCAATTAAAATAATTACTTAAAGAAATAGTAAAAGGAAAAATCGAATAAATATTATTCAAATATGAAATAAATAAAACACATGATTAACGAAATATTTTTTTTACCTACCCAATTAAGATAATTAATTAAAGAAATAGTAATCTCTCCATATTGTTAGTTAATATATATCGTTGTCTCACTTATTTTAAAAGAAAACAAACAAATACATGACACATAGAAAATACATATGACAAATGTGATAAAAATAAAAAGAGTAATTAAACAATGTGATAAAGATTACATCCGATTTAAATTCAGAAAATCACAAACACATGACAAATAGAGAATACATATTATTTATATAGATACTACACATCCGTCGAGTCATTGTTTAGTGGGATCTGGCTTGTACAAGATGGACGTGTATGTCTTGTAGCGCCGCACCTCCTGCACTTACGCGGTTGTGGAAACTCTCTTGTAGATGGTATTCTAGACGTTCGTCTATGACCAGGAGTACGCGGTGGAGCTTCAGGTAGCAACAAATTATTAAGTGCTACAATATAATCAGGAACTTCCCACTCGGCTTCATTTGGTAGAGAAAATATAGTTTCGGCATACGCTGCTCTCCAAAAATCAGTCATATAATAATGACTGCACAAGCTGTGTGGTGGAAATCCTCTATACATAGCCACCGCGACAGCATGTGCACATGGAAAACTTTCCAACTGAAATTTTCTACACGTGCAGGTATTGTCATTCAAGTCTACAATGTATCCAACATTACGCCCGCATCTCACGGAGAAGCGAAATTGATCTAGTGGTTCCACAAATAGAGCTTTTACCACTTCCAGAGTTTTGAATAGTCGATCTTCCTGTGCCGGAGCTAGCACACTCGTGCAATTTTGGGATTCTTCACGTCGGTCATAAAACCACTGTTGCAACTTGCTGCGAATATGTTCAATCATTGCGAGAATCGGTAACTCTCGATCCTTCTTGAATAATGCATTCAGCGACTCTGCGTTATTCGACGTCATCATGTTGTATCGACGTCCTAGAAAATGTGATCGTGCCCAATGTTCGACCCCCATATCTGATAGATATTCCCATGCACTTTCTGATTTATGTTCAATTTCGCCCATGAACTTTGTAAACTCTTCAAAGCTGTAAGCTTCTGCAGCTCTCCTAAACAATGCAACGATGCCACTGCCCCGGTACCTAGTCTTTAGATTGCCCTGAATGTGGTACATGCAATAACCATGATGTGCTTCTAGAAAAACTTCGGCTATACCATTTATTATTGACTGCCCCCAGTCAGTCACAAATGCAAGGTTCTCGATGTTCCCAATTACTTCTCTCAACTTCGTGAAGAACCAACGCATTGCTAGATCATTCTCTCCATCGACAATGCCAAATGCAAGAGGGTAAATTTGGATATTGGCATCTTGAAAAGTAGCAATAATCAACTTTCCTTCATATCTAGATCTTAGGGTTGTACCATCAACTAGAATTAGAGGTCGCATCGCATTTCGAAAACCTCTAATGCATTGTCCAAGAGCCATAAAAAAATACTTGAAGCGATTATGCCCATCGGTTGAGTCAGAATTAGTTCTCACCATGTTGTGGCAATACCTGGCCAATTTGGCATAACTCTCCTCTGTCGAACCCATTAAATCTTCCAATGCACATTCTTTAGCCTTCCAGGCCTTCTGGTAACTCATAACCACCCCATACTCTCGACGGACGTCGTTGATGATATCTGTAGGTCTGTAAATCGTCCGTGGATCCTGAAACTTGTGCATTATCTGTCGACCAATAAACCATGATCGAGCTTGCCTGTGATCATTTTGACGAATATCCACTTCACAAGTATGTTCCCGCGCATACTTACAAACAACAAAGAACTCATTTGTGTCCATCTTTGTCGCACTCAAACGCCAACTGCAATTGTTGTCCACACAAATAATTGTGTATGTAGACTTGTTTGATTTTTTTACCTTAAACTCAAAATTATGTTTCATTGCAATTCGGTGCGCGGCTTCTTGCAAATCTCTTTTCGTGTCAAACAATTGATCGACATGTAAATTTTCATCATTAGGAACTACACGCGAACAATTAGAAGACCGTGTACTCGGCCCAGCATGTGAGCTCCCACCAGACTCATGTCTCTGTCTGGATAAAGCAATCAAATCCTGATTTATAAATGGCCTTTCATCCTCGTTGTCTTGAACTTCCTCGTAAATCCTTCGTGTTCACCCTCGATGACATTTTTCTTCAACAAACTTACGCAAATAGGAGTCGGGAAATTCGTCGAAATAACAGATTGGGACACACGCTTTTGCCATATCTGCATTACGAATTAAAAATATCAGAACAAATTATCAGAAATAAAATTATCAGAATCGAGGGGCGGGGGAGTCTGCAAACGGACGGTCGGGACGGTCCGGACCGTCGTTAAATCCGGCGTTCCGGCGTCTGATCGGTGCCGGCCTGAACTTTGGCTCTAATATTATTTTTTCTACCATTTAAAAAATATATACGACTTCAATAAAAATAAAATTAAATACTACGAAAAGATACTTACCGAATTGAAGTACTGAAATTTAACTAAATTTTTCTGTTGAAGTTGATAACTGATAAGTTTATGAAATTTTGAGGTTGAAGTGGATGAAAAATGAAAGAGTTTTTATCGTGTTAGAGTAAACTGATGAAAAGACTGACTTCGTTTTCAAATTTCAATTGAGACTTGTTTGGATTTTTATTTGTAACTTAAGGATATTTTTGTCTTTTTACCATATTTCTATTTTTGTAATTATATAACTCATTTAAGGGCCTTTTTGTCTTTTACACAAGAAATGGCTATTGTGGTGAATGTTAGATTTTTATGGTTAAAATGGAAAATGGTTGGTTTGACAAAGCCAAACTTAAAAGTACCCCGATTTGTTAATTAATATATTATTATTTTATAAATACATTATAAAATTAAATTAATACACACCTACCCACCCACTCGAAACCCTAATCTCCTTCGTATTTCCTCACTTTATCTCTCATCCCCCATTTCACTTCTCTCTCTCTCTCAACGGAAGGAAGTTTCACCGAGGCCATACCAACGGCGAGGCTGCAACTGCATCTAGCTATGACTTTTACACGGCCTGAGTGGCTGCAGTCCCGATCGATATGCACGGGAATCTGTACCCCCATCGATTGCTGTGAGTGATTACAGTACCGATCAATATGCATGGGATTATGCAACATCCAATTATCTGGATTTATAGCGCACGACTGATGAGCACATCTACAGCGATGAGATTTGCAGCGGTGCATCGCCATCGGTGGTGTTGCAATTTTTGATTTTTTTTAATTAGATCTATTTATTTTGAGTGTTTTTTTTTTTTTTTTTTTTGCAAATAATGTTTGCGGTTGAGTAGATGGCGGTATTAATGCAGTTGGTGGTTTACGCTGGTGCAGGCGATTGTGTTGGTAGAGATAGTGCAATTGTTGTGATAGTATTTGGTAATGGTGTTGGTTTTCATAGTCGTTGTTGAGCTCATGTGTGGCTGTGGTACTGTTGGAGGGCAAGGATGAGGTAGTGGTCACAATTGGTGATGATGATGGTGATAGTCGTAGCAATTATGGAGGTGGTCTAGCAGTGTAACGCTGTGGGTGTGGCGGTGGTGTGGCGGTGAGTTTTGTGATGCTGAGGAACGTGGTGGTAGTGGTTTTGTGATGTCGTGATTGTGGCGGTGGTGCAGTGAGTTCTGTGATGCCGTGGGTGTGATGGTGGTGCGGTGAGTTCTGTGATGCTGTGAGTGTGGCGGTCGGTGGTGGTTTTGTAATGCTATGGGTATGGCGTTCTAGCACGCGAAAGTTTTAGTGGCGTTACAACTGAGGATGATGGTAAGGTGGTGGTTACAAGTGTCAGTAGCGATCATGAATGATTTGATTGACTGTGACCATTAAATTGATTAATCGTGACCAATAAATAACATATGACCAATAAAAAAGATAAGTTGTGACCTAAAATTTTGTTAATTTGTGACCAAAAAGTTTATATTTTTTTTACTATATCATAAATTATGACTTTTAAAATTTGTGATTTGTGACTGATAAATAAATTGTGGCTTAAATTTATTTGTGACCGATGAACAGGTTGTAACTTACGAAATTTTTGATCAATGATGGTTAAATAATTTGTGACCTATAAAATTTTTTTATTTGTGATCGAAAAAAATATGTGTCCTATAAATTTTTTTATTTGTGATCGATAAATAAGTTGTGACTAAAAATTGATTAGAGACTAATTAATTTTTGATTTGTGACTGATAAATAAACTATGACCTATAGTATTTTTAAATTGTGACTATAAAATAATTTGTGACATAAATTTTTTTATTTGTGACCAAAAAATAATAAATGACTAATTAAATTATTAACTTGTGATCAAATTATATAGATCTGTGATCTAAATATATGTAATTAATTAATTAAATCATAAATATATTTTAATAAAAATTTAATTTTTAAAATTTGAAACTTGTTTTCTTAATTTTAAAATGTATGACACTTAATTTCTTACTTATGAAATTTCCTCCCAATTATTATTTGCTTCACTCCTGTTGGGCTTATAGAGTGTGGTGAGTTTTGACATAAAGTGCGTTTATTAAGATCACCTGTGTGCGCTCTACCATTAGAATTGGAAGGAACCGGAGAGAACATGATTAGGGAGGATCTGCTTTGCGAAACTAGCCCCAATTTTTCCCCTTTCTTTTCAACCCTAAATTATCTTTAATCGGAAAAATTTGACCCTAATTTTCCCAAATCCCCGGTTCTTGCACCACTGTATTGTATGCCTGTTTCTGCCTTTTTTTTTCGCTGTTATTGTTGAAACGAGGGATATTTTGGGATTACCCAAAACTGCATTACCAATACAAGAAAAGAAATCCAAACCTCCCAAAGAAACTCAGAAAACCAGATGGAATTTCTCGCGAGTTGCGTTCTTTTACGTTTTCTTATGCGCATCTATGAAACTTGTTGGGTGCGATTTTAATTGTGGGAGATATTGTAGGTTTATGCACTTACGGGGGGATTGGCACCTCTTATGCCTTCCGTTGATGTGAATCAATTGAAACGAAAAGCGCAATCTAAGAATGAGAAGGTTTGTGTGATATGTATATTTAAATGCATTCAGGTAATGGTTATTGTTAAGTTTCTTTTTTCTGCAGATTACATGGTAATGACTTCCTTTTACGAATTCTGCTAGGAAGGACAAGTTGCAGCTTTAACATTGGGTATGTTCCATGCAATTGTAGGATCATTTATGGAATTTTTAGATATGCAATCCTTAACAATATTTTGAGCTCTTACATTTGTAGGTTAGAGTTGTAAATGGTGTTCCACCTTCAGGTGATTATTCATTTGCAAAAGTATAACAAGGTACTCCAACAACACATATCGGCCTATGAGAGGATCATACTTATATTCATTCAGAACTTGCATCTCATCTCATCTCTATTTCTAGTTATTGAAGCTTGTTATTTTATTTGCTTTAATGCAGTTCATTGACGTGATCAAGTACACTGATGAGGAGTACAAGAAGTACCTGGTGGATCCTGTATGCATTCAGAATTTGAAATTTGCTATTAGGGTGGTCATGGGATTTCTATTGATTAAATTTTAGAGTGAAATAAAGGACACGGAATATGTTTGTGGGATTTATGTTGCAACTCGAGAAAGACTTTCTGCATGACAATTGCATATGGAAGTGATTTATTTTTTAATGTCACTGAAACATGTCACTGGATTGAAAACATGACCCAATATGATAGACCCTGCTGCACTGTTTGTAGTAATTGTCCTAGCAATTTTTGACAACCCTACTTTGAAAATGATTCATTTTGGACTTGAATTTGTACTTGTCACTAGATTTAAAGTAGCATCTGCTGGGATATTGGTCCATATGATCACTCGCTTAGAGTTATTGTACTAAATGTTCTAGCTTTCTCAGTTTTTATCTTATGCTAATCCCTTTCATGTGTCATCACATGTCTCAGCTCCTTACTTCTCTGTTTTCTGTCAATAAGCATAGACCAAGGAAGAGACGGATCAATTGTTTGATATGTGTGAATGGTTTGATCTCCGCTTCATTGTGATTGCCAATAGATTTCCATCATCAAAAAACTGTGGAAGAACTGAAGAATCGTTTTTCATCATCAACCGGTTGGTTTCGGTTGGGTCAATCGGTTTGTACGGTTTGAATTGATTTTTGCCCGGGCTTTTCTGATACAAACGCGCCAATCAACTTCAAACATACGCAATTGCCACTCCATGAGCAAGGATGCATTTACTGCGCATGTTAAGCTATGTCCTTCGCACGCCATCCCGCCATATTTGTACTTCCTCAACTGTTTCTTTAAACCAAAAGATTAATGGCTACATACGTAACGGAAATTTAAATGAGGCGCATAAATTGTTCGACCAAAATCCCAACTCAAGAAACGTTATCTCGTGGAACTCAATGATCAATGGGTACATCAAAATCCACCAAATGCAACAAGCCCAGAAACTATTTGATGAAATGCCCCAAAGAGACGTTGTCTCATGGAACACTATGCTTTCAGGATTTCGAGATGCACAAAAACCGCAAAAGGCACACCAGCATTTCCTAGAAATGATGAGAAAAGGGCCGAGACCCAAAGAGCTCACCTTTGCTGTACTTGTTAGTGCTTTCTTGAATACGAAGTTTGATGTCTTAATCCAACAACTTCATTGTCTTGTTATATGCTCAGGGCTTAATCTGAATGTGTTTCTTGGGTCTACTTTAATGAGGGGTTATATTGCTTTTGGTGATTGTGAGGGTTTCTGTAGAGTATTTGATGAGATTTTAGAGAAAGATGTGGCTCCCTGGAATGTGTTACTTTTGGGTTATATGGAATTTGGGTTGATAAATGAAGCTCAGAGGGCTTTTAACACGATGCCTGAGAAAAACACATATTCTTGGAGTACTTTGATTAATGGATATGCTAAAAATAAAAAAGTTAATGAAGCGCGAGAAGCTATTGATAAGCTGAGGAAAAAGGACGTCATTTTATGGACTGCGATGATAAAAGGGTATGTGCAGGGTGAAAAGTTTGTAGAGGCTTTGGAGCTGTTTCTCTTGATGATGAACTCAGGGACTCGACCTAACCATTATAGACCTAACCATTATACTTTTCAAGTGTATTAGATGCTTGCACTGGCTGCTCTTCCCTTGTCATGGGTAATAAAGTTCATACATGTATCTTAAAGTTTGGATGTCCGCTTGATGTGATTCTAGCAACCTCCCTTGTCGACATGTATGCAAAATGTGGGGACATAGATGCATCGTGTGAGATGTTTGAGTCAATGTTGACAAAGAATTTGGTGTCATAGAATTCAATTATAGGAGGTTATGCAAAACATGGTGTCAAGGACCGCAGCTTTACTTAGCCCCTTGACACTATCGCAGCCGCAGTTTGCCCAACTTCGGCCGCACATTGTAAATATTACTTCAAGTTTAAGTTGTAATTTTCTTTTCATTGTAATAGTTATTTCAGTTGTAAAATAGCTCTGATATTGGTAAACGTTTAGTATGATTCCTCGTCTTTTAAACGTTTACTTCCGTCACTTGGGTTTTTGTTCAGAATGCTATTATAGGGGGTATTAGTCATTCAAAAATCTTTCAAGCTCACTGGTGTCCGCCTCCTACACCAGCATTTGTAATTTTCTGCTTTCATCAATTGTAATGTTCAGTTTTCATCAATCAATGTTTAATTTACTTTCAATGTATTCAAATTCTCTATTGTAAGCTTTCTACAAAATTGCAATCAAATTTTTTTTCGTCCCGACGCGATCGAGAAAAGGCGGAAGGTAGTCTAGCGGAGCAGACTACTGCTGCACGGTGTCCCTTTCTGTGCTAAGAAGAAAGGCACCTCGTGAAAGTTGGTATCAGAGCTGCGGCTCACGACCCTCGATAAGAAAGCTATGGATCCAATTACATCCCACACCATTGAAGTGGTAGAGCCTCAAAAGAAGAGTATTACGAAACAGGGCGTGGATGCGCTTGATGAGACAACTACTAGGTTGTGCTATGCTATGGAAGGTCTCGAGGAAAAAGTCGAGATGGCCGAATTTGAGATTCGTGGATTACACATCCAATTGGATGAAAGCCAAAGAGCTTCCACAGCAATGGCTGAAGCTGTTGCAATCATTCCTGATCTGCAGGATGAAATGGAAGCGTTGGGAGCTCAATTGCGGGTACTCCAACGTGCGATGGGCAATGGGCAAGCTCCCGTACCCGAGTATGCTCCTAGGCTCAGAATTCCTGAACCGTGTACCTACGGAGGGGCACGTGATGCAAAAGAAGTCGAAAACTTCTTGTTTGATATGGAATAGTACTTTCTAGCAGCTTCGATCGAAGACGAAGCTAGAAAGGTAACCACAACTACCATGTATCTGGGTGGAGATGCAAAACTATGGTGGCGAACCAAATATGCTGACATTCAGGCCCACAGGATTCGAATTGATTCTTGGGATCTCCTCAAGGAAGCGATCAGATCGCAGTTTTTCCTGAAAAATGTCGAGTATCAGGCTCGACGGGCACTTCGAGACCTGAAACACATGAGCTCTATCAGGGAGTATGTGAAATCCTTCTTAGGGCATATGCTGAATATTCGAGATATGTCGGAAAAGGATAAGCTCTTCACCTTTATGGAAGGGCACACGCACGGAACTTCAAAGACAGAAGGTTACTGATTTAAGCACGGCCATGGGAGCCTCTGAACGCTTGAGCAACTACCAAACAGAATCTAGAAAAGATCGACCTTCGGGGAGTAATCAAGCAATTGGAGGTGGTAACAGATCTTACAGGCCTAGCTCGAACCCAAATGGGGGAGAGCGTTACTCTCAGAATAGAGAAGGAGCCTATCAAAGCACCCGTGGCTTTCAGGGAAACTATCATAATAGCCGTCAAGAAAATTTTAACAGCAGCAACAGTAACAACTGGAACAAAGGAAAAGCAACAGATGGCCGAACTGATGCCACTCCCAAATTGAAGTGCTTTTTTATGTGACGGACCTCATCGGGTGTCGGATTGTCCTCAAAAGCGGATGGTGAATGCATATTGTCAGTTAGCAAGTGGCGGGCCAAGTTCAAAGCAAGAGGCCCCACAGGCTAATTGTCATAATGAGACTGACTCTGAAGAGGATGAGGAAGTAGTTGGGGCATTTTCACATCGGTGCAACACACTGTCGCATCGGGTTGCTGAAAAGGATGATGTCCTATTGAAAGACGCAAAGATGGAAGAAGCGAAGGCTTGAATTTGTAGGGCCAAAGGCTTAATGTACATTGATGTAAAAATCAATGGGAAGCCAATCAGGGCTATGATGGATACAGGTGCTACCCACAACTACCTTGCATGTACCGAAGTAGAGCGGCTCGAACTTGTTCTAGAAAAAGGTAGTGGAAAAGTCAAAGCAATCAACTCCGCTGCTCAACCAATAGCTGGAGTGGCGAAATCAGTGTTGATCAAAGCAGGACCTTTCGAGGGAAGGACAAATTTATCTGCAGTTCAGATGGATGATTTCAAGCTTATTCTAGGATTGGAATTTCTTCGGGATACGAAGACAGCACTGTTGCCATATTTCGATTCGTTAATGATGATGGGTAATAAGCCATGTGTCATCCCTACAGAGGTTGGGAGGATGGGCGAGAAGAGTATCTCAGCCATGCAATTTAGTAAGGGTTTCAAGAGAAATGAACCCTCTTTTTTGTGCACTCTTCGATTAGAGGAGATCGAAGAAGCAAATGGTCCTATCCCAAAACCTGTTAAAAGGCTTATTCGGGAATTTGAGGATATCATGCCGGAAGAATTACCAAAGAAATTACCACCAAGAAGGACGATTGATCATGAGATTGAACTCATTCCGGGCGCCAAACCTCCCGCCAGGGCACCATACCGTATGTCTCAGCCCGAGCTTGAAGAGCTTAGGAAGTAATTGGGGGAAATGCTGGAGAGTAGAATCATTGTGCCTGCGAATTCGCCATACAGAGCTCCTGTATTGTTTCAGAAAAAGGCCGATGGTTCTCTTAGAATGTGATGCGACTATCGAGCCTTGAACAAGATCACTGTAAAGAATAGCTATCCTATCCCACTTGTTGCAGATTGCTTCGATCGACTGAGTCGGGCAAAGTATTACATAAAAATTGATCTTAGGTCCGGATACTGGCAAGTTGGGATCAAGGAGGGAGATGAAGCAAAAATTACGGTGGTAACCAGATATGTAGCCTTTGAATTTAAAGTGATGCCTTTTGGTTTGACAAACGCTCCAGCAACATTTTGTACTATGATGAATCAGGTACTTCACGGGTTCTTAGATGATTTTGTTGTGATGTACTTGGATGATATAGTAATCTACAGCGAGACATTGGAGGAACATGTCCAGCATGTGAGGCAAGTTTTTAATCAGCTACGAGGGAATGAACTTTATGCTAAGCCGTCTAAATGCTCATTTGCTTAGACATCTATCAGTTTCTTGGGTCACATCATTGAACAAGGTAAAATCCGCATGGATTCAAAGAAGGTTACAGCCATCAAAGATTGGCAACCACCAAAAATCGTACATGATGTACGTTCATTTCTTGGGTTATGCAATTACTATCGAAGATTTGTGAAAGGCTACTCAGAAATTGCACTGCCACCTACTGAATTGACAAAGAAGGATAAGGATTGGAATTGGTTATCCCAATGCCAAGCTGCTTTTGAAAGGTTGAAGAAGTCCACGTGGACGAACCCGATTTTAGCCTTATCAGATATGGCTAAACCATTCGAAGTTTATACAGATGCTTCAGATTTTGCCCTTGGTGGAGTCCTCATGCAAGAAGGACATCCAGTAGCATATGAGAGCCGAAAATTAAATCGGACAGAACGTCGTTACTTGGCACATGAAAAGGAATTGTTAGCAGTTGTCCATTATCTCAGAGGATGGCGTCACTATCTGCTTGGGTCTCCATTTATTGTGAAGACAGATAACACTGCAGTTAGTCACTTCATGTCCCAACCAAAACTATCGAGCAAACAGGCTCGTTGGCAGGAATTCCTTTCAGAGTTCAATTTTATGTTAGAGTATCGTCTCGGCTCTAGTAATCATGTTGCTAATGCTCTTAGTCGACGAGCCGATTTAGCTACCATCTGCTCTGTAGCTGCTCTTTTAGGGAGCGCAGTCTCCACGAACACTAGAGACCAAATTCGGGCACTTATGGAGAAGGACCTGGCTACCCAATATTTGGTCGACCTTATCAAGCAGGGTAAAACTTGATAGTTTTGGCTCGATGGGGAACTAGTGAAGACAAAGGGAGACCGTCTATATGTTCCTAAGGGCGGAGATCTGAGGAAATCACTAATTACGGAATGTCATGACACAATTTGGGCAGGGCATCCCGGAGAGGAACGCACTTGTGCACTACTACAACGGGCATACTACTGGCCTCAAATGCGGGACGACATTGCAACATATGTAAAAACTTGTCTTATTTAGGGCTGGACATGGTCCGGTTCGGTTCGATTCCCTTAAGAACTGAACCGAACCCAAAATTTTCGGGTACTTAGTAATTGGAACCGTCGGGTCCAAATTTAATTATGAAACCGTTCGGGTTCGGTTCGGTTCTGTTCGGTTCAGTACCATAATTACATTTTTAACATTTACAACACAACATAAATACAACTAATAATATGTTGAGTCATAGCTTTTACAAACTAACAAAGTCCCATTAAAAACATATAAGTAACATGTTGTCCAGTGACATTAATTTACCAATGTATACATATACCAAAAAGTAAATACCAGTATTAAAATATCAGCAATTCATATTAATAATTCCCTTGCTTCCTTCAAGCCTTCAAAATCAAGTCTACATAAAACAATTAAATATGAATTAAAAGTCATAGAAATAAAATATTTTTAAGTATTACTAATACTTACCAGCTATTTGATTAACCATCAATTTCTTGAGTTGCCATACGAAGAAACTCTACAGAAAAAATTGAAAAAACACAATTAACAAATATAAATGAACTAAAAATTGTTCAACTAATAAGATTTAATAAAAAAAATAAAACATATATTTTATTACTTGTCTCAATGCTCTCATAGAACTCTGTCTCTTCAATGCAAATTCTATCTTCGGAAACTATCAAAAGTCTAGATTCTTCCATTAGCCAGTTTTGTGTACAAATCAAGGCCTCAACTGTTTTAGGAGTTAAAGAACTCCTAAATGGGTCAAGAATGCGCCCTCCAGTACTAAATACTGACTCAGAAGCCACCGTAGATACAGGAATGGCAAGAACATCCCTTGCAACTTTAGATAAAAATTCAAACCTTGAACTGTTGATCTTCCGCCATTTTAAAATGTTAAAGTTTTCATCAGTAGCATCTTCAGTAGGTTCCATTAGATATCGTTGTACCTCATCTTTTCCAGAAAAATCCATTTTGCT